TGGATACACAGGTGAATGAAAATTTAAGTCTTAGTCTCTTGATTTGGTATTTTTATTGAGAAATTTGGAAAAGAAAATTTAGACTATTGTTGATTTAGAGAAATTGCTTTTCAATTAATAATTAGTACGTTTCTCTAGGCACAAATATTCGAACACCTATATAACTACTACGTTTGATGCCAATTTTATTGTTAAATTTATAGTTGTGAATATTTTGTTATTTGTAAGCGAAAGGGAAAAAAATCCAGTATTTTCCATGTTCAGCTACTGAACTTGCTTGAGCTACTTATGATATGAATAAATTAGTAGTTTTTGTTCTCCGAGAATTGTGGTGTTGATTTATATGTTTCACCCTGTACAGAAATGTGGTAGGTGGTGGCTTCTTGTGTAATCTGGGATTGCGCCATAGGTTTGTATCAGTATAGAATTGGAATTTTCTGTGTATAATTTACCCCAAAGAAGAAATGATACATGTCTTCTCGGTTTGTCTTTATATCCAAAGAAAATCTAATAACAATTACAATTCAAACTTTGGAACTCTGTTTCGTTGAATTACTTGATCTGAAAAAAAAAATTCATCTATCATCTGGATTTTTTTTTTTTTAGTTTATGTTTATTAACCTGATATTAAGGATTATTTGGGCTGAGATCTAGCCTCAGATATTGCATTATATAACTTACAACATGTTTTGAAGTGATGGAATATGAAGATGTATAGCGAAAAGGTAAATCGAAACCGAGTTGCCTGAAAAAAATTTCGGCCTACGTTGACGGGCAGAATTTTTAGTTGTGATTATTTTAGAGAATTTTCAACTTGTTCAAATACTTTGTGTGTTGTATCAAGTGATACATTGTGGTTTAATGATTTTAGATTGTATTAAATCACCAACAGGAAGCAAAAGCAATTAGGCGAAAGAGAAAAATCCTTCGAATGATTGAGTTTTTACCTTTTAAATATTGATGCATCAATGGAAGTGACAAATTTATGTACAATCTGCCTGCACTGCCTGGAAACCCCGCATATGCTATTTCATTTGATTCCAACATGACATTTAACTCAATATCCTTTGGTATTCAGGCCAGAATTTCAATATTCTTTCTACTGTGCTTCGAACGAAGGAAGATTTTAGTGTGTCAAAAACTAAGTCTGTTGTTGGGGGGAAAATGGGTGGTTGAAAAGCAGTTGGTGATCTTATGAACTCCGTGAAGCCATCCTTGCAGGTAGTTCCAAAAAGGGTCAAAAGTTGAATCCCGATAAAAAAACGTTTGCTACACTTTCAATTCCCTTTTCTGGTAGAATATTTTGTACTATTTTAGTAAGTTATTTTTGGAGTAGTAATCGATACTTTTTTGGCACATTGATATCAACTTTTGACTAGGCTAATATTGTTCTTAGTAATCATTTAGATTAACTCTACATTTTGGTATATTGTATTTGATCGCACTTAATACTTTTATTTATTGGAATTATGGAAAACATGATTATATTATATGTGTTGGTATATATAATTCTTTTAATTATTATAAGCTTGTTCATAATTAAATAAATAAATATTTTTTAAAAATAAAATTCACATTTACGGCATGCACGTGCATGCCGTAAAAGGTAAAAAGTTGACTTTTTACGGCGTGCAAGTGACGCTGTAAAAGACATGAGTATTTACGACGTGCTAGTGCACGCTGTAAAAAGTTGAAGTATTTACGGCAGACAAATGCACGCCATAAATAGTACATTAATGGCATGCTTTTTTTCATTTACCTGCAATGCATGCCGTAAAAGGATACGAGCATTTATGACACGGCTTTAAATGGCATGTGCCTGTACACCGTAAAGGACTTTCTACGGCGTGCAATAAAAAGTAAACTTTGTTATGGTGAATCCAATTAGACTTTGATATGGAATGAGGATGGGACACAATTTTTACCATAATCTTGGGATTATACATATAGAATTTCATCTATCGTTGAAAAAGCAATGCTTCATACATAAATGCAAAATCATACACAAATTCAATATTTTTGCTTGGATTTTGGAAGAAGAAGAGGATGAAGATATAGAAGTTTATTCGAGAATTGTTGAAGAGATCCCAGAGTTCAAGAATTATATTCCCTTTTCTCTACAATTGAAATCCGAATGATGTATTATCATTCCAAACCTTGTTTGTGTTTTGATGCTCAGCCAATTGTCCTAGTGTCCTATACTTTGAAGTTTTGATGTTAATATTTAAAGACTTTGGGGTTAAACGCTTGTGTTGACTTGAATGGTTGTTCGGTTATTAATTCTTTCTATTACTTTATCTATATTTGGATAAATTTGTGATTTTTATTCCATTCAAGAGAAGGAAAGCATTAGCAGGTAGTAACATTTAGGATGTGTTTTATTACATTTATTTTTCATGAAAAATATCAATTTTCCACTCAAATTCCAACTTGAAGTATTTGATTGCTATTTTTTTTTTATGAAAACATTTTTCAACTTTTGAAAATATACCTAATTTTCCTTGTTTTTAAGGAAAATATTTTCCTTGGATGGAGGTGATTTTTATTTTCCTCAAAACAAAGAAAATATTTTCTTTTCTAGACGATATTTTTCATATCAGTCAAACACACTCTTATTGTAAAGTTCAATGGGAAGTAGAGATATATCATTATGCTTTGTATGATCTTACTTTCATGGTTGTCATCCTTTATAGAGATATACAGTGGGTTTATTATATGTAAGGATAATTTTAACATTACTATAACGAAATTATTAAATAAAACAAGAACATTGATTGTCAAGTGCAAATATAAGTATTGTCAATTTCTTGAGTTGATATTAAAATAAATGAACATAGGGGAAATTAAGGTCCTAGAAATTTTATTTAATTGAGTTGAATGGACGCTTAATAGTTCAATTTAAAAAAATTATAGTTAATAATTTAGTTATAGAATTTACTTAACAATCATCGATCTCCATACAATATTACTATTTCAGTTAAAGCTAATATTAATTGAAATCTAAGTAAATACATAGATCTCATGGGAATGATCTTTTATTACATAAGAACACCCATCAATTTATTTTATACTAAGATGATAGCAGTACTTTTCTTTCTTATAAAAACCTATGGAGTTTAAACACGTGTACAATCTTATTGTACAAGTCATGGCTATCCAAAATTTCCTTTATTGCTCGAGATCTACGTCCACTCATGTTTACTAGACACGTTCCAACAACATACAATCTAAATATCTACAATTCGTGCAAGATCAATGTTTGACATACAGAGAGATGCCTTGCCTTCTCCAAGGGAGAATTTCAGTATCTTAAAAACTACATGATTCTCAAATCATGCCAAGTTGTCCACGTGACAGTGGTTACATATACAAAGTCTACAGCATAGATTGGAGATGAAGAAATTGAATTGGCTGCAAAGGGAAGATAAACTTCATGGTAGGACATTTTTTTTGCCTTACCAAATCTCTAAATCATTTTTTTAAATCATGAAACCACCTGTTTTTGTGCTCTTTGAAGCCAGCACAAGTAACTTAAGGCAAACTTAGTGTAACTGATCATTTCTTCATAGGATTTTTGGCAATTCTTGATTTCTCCCTTAATAGCTTCTGTATTACAATAAGGGTTGTTTCGAATTAATTTTTTGGCCGTTCAAACGACTAGGGGAACATTTTTCTCAAGATTTTTCTTTGATAAAATTTTTTTATGCTATTTCTTGATGAAGGATGCTTGATTATTTTCTTCCAAATCTAAGATGTAACTTATTTCCTTTCGAAGAACTGAGTGCCTGAAGTAAGAAAATCTACCTACTTACTGGATTGAAAAAGGTAATGCACCATGGTTATTTAATTTATTTGTCAAATTTGTGCCATCAAGTCATCAAATTTAGATGAACAAGAGAATTTAGCAAGCAAGAACTGGGATTTCCTGAAAAATAGATTGTTGATATCAAATTAGGGTTCATTTGATTGCAAGCATGAAATTTTGATAGAAAGAAAACGAATTCCTAGAAATTAAATTGTCTAGAACTTGTTTTTACTGAAAATTGTCAATTAAATGTTTTTGATTAATATAATTTTTCGCCTAAAAAATGTTGAAACTTTGAATCTTTTGGTGTTTGTTTGACTTTATTTTCCATGAAAATTATCAATTAAAAGAATAGAATTCGTTTCCATTGCCAAAAAACAAAATTAAAAAAAACCTGAAAAACCAGATTCCCACCAGACCCATGGGAATTGAAATTCCACAAAACCAAGGAAAAAAGGACCACGTAAAAGAGGGGGAGAGGAGAGGGGGGGGGGGGATCGAAAATCAATTGTCAAGAAAATTCTTGCAATCAAACAAGGAAAAATGTGGAGAATGAAATTTCCATGAAAAATTCATCAAATCAAACAGGCCCTTAATATAACTATCGCGATCCCTTTTTGTTAATGAGGATAGTTTTTTTTTTTTGAAGACAGATTCAAGCATTTGATTGTACACATTTTCCAACCAGTACTTGATCTGGTCCGAAACAATGGATGATGGATAGACTTGAGTCAATACAAAAGAAGTGATGCTTAGAGGGAAGCCCAAGTAACAGAAGAGGAGAAAAGTGAGACAATGGGAATAAATCATTCTTGCTCCAGAGAGAGAATTTGCATAAAATACTCGAGACTGTTTACCAAAAGGCTAGCTTCCAAGCCATATTTATACTAAATCTTCGCTAGGCTCTTTTAACACCCACTCTCCTTATATTGGAGACTTTTAACTCCTTGTTTTAAGAGTCCAGTAAACTACAGTTTCGAATAAAGCATGGATTTAACACTCCAACCATCAAGAGCGAAATATACACACTATGCCCTTGTTTAAGCCCCATTTAAGAGTAGAAAATGAATTTTTAAATAGTGTGTTGATGAAAAATGTGTGATTAAAAAATAAGAAAAAGTTTTTTATTTACGTATAATATTATTTTATTGAAGAATGTGTGATTGAAATGATGTCAAATCACTATTGAAGAATGTATCAAACAAGGGCTATATAATAATTTTACTGTTATCATTCATATACTTCTTTCGAAAATAATGGAAAATGGGCATACCTATATGCTAAGTATCCCTCGAGTATCTAGTAGAAGTGAACTTTTGACTCGCACATAACGCAGCCTTATCATGTGTGCATAAATTTTAGACTCAAATAGCCAACAAGTTTCATGAAAAGTCAGAAATTCCGAGAATTAGACGTGACAAATGCCATTAAACAGTTGCTGCGGGGACATTTTTACTTTTCCTTGACCTCTTGCGTTTTCTACTCCTGCTTCTCATAGTGTTATCGACAATCTTGCTTTCCTGTAATCAAAATCATCATCTCACTAGCAAATAAAAGCAAAAAGAATACAGAACAAGAAATGACTTCTGACCAGTTGTCTACCAGTAGAAACCCCCTTCCCCTCCAACACCATCGTGCGTGCATACACACCCCAACATGAAAATGGGATATGCAAAGATCCACAAGAATGACAATTCAAAATGCCTTATGAAGCAGAAGCAATCTTACTTTTTTACTATAGGAAAACCATTAATACCAACGTACCTTTTCAGAAGAAGCATTTTTATTCCCATCAGTCTTCTTCTTCTTGCATGATAGAGGGTTTGGACCCTGCAATGCACAAAATAAGGAATAAAACCTGTGCATGTTGAGACATCCTGTGGAGACTTAATTCATGCCCATTTACATGTAGCAGTACCATATAAAGGCAACAAGGACTTTGAACAACACAGGTATGGAGTTGGAATCAAAGCCTAATCCACTCTCCCCTTGTTCCCACTCTCAAGGAGTGAAATGTTTTGGACACTGTTCAGGGGAAAAAAGACAATATAATGAATCTTACCTTAGCTTTCTTTCGCTTGAACTGAACCTGATCCTTCACATTTGTTCCATCTCTTTTAATGTTTGCCTTCACAACCCGAGTATCTAACATATGATCTTCATTGCTTTCATTTGCATCAGAAGCATCCGCTGCTTCTTCAATTGCTACTTTCTTCTTTAGTTTTGACAGTTTATACTCCCACTCATTCATATGTGATCGTTCTTCTTCAGCAATCTTGGCAAACTGGTGTTGAAATCCTGATGGCCGCTCAAGAAAGAGAGAATTTCTGAGAGCATATATTACAGGCACACCAGGTATCTGCAACCATAAGTTGTTTAAAAATTGAAAGAGGTACGGATGTATGTATATCCATATGGGTTAAATCAATCTGATAATAACTTAAACAAGGGACACGACTTTTTAAATTAATGCACTTGAACACACACACACACACCCAATCTCTTGAGAACTAGATGTTTGAACCATCAAAATAGACATAATATTAAGCATAAGTAACATATATTAGAAGGGAAAATGCTGTAGAAACCTCTTGCAACTTCCTCCTTAACTCAGCATCCTGAGTTGCAACAAAGAAATGCTCAGGGTTCTTTTCTCCAATAACTTCTGTTATGCAGGCCACAGCACTCTTTCTCTTGTCATGATCACATCTGTGGAACAGATCCCATAAATAGAATGGATCAGGTCAGCGACTAAATACTGTGGGGGTAGGCTTCTTAACTTGGGTAAATTTGTATATTTCTGTATTTGCTTGACAGAGTCTACTATCATAGAAGCATCGGATAAAAAACATTCGTCGACTATCTTATAGACAACAGAGAACTGAGAGATGGGGAGCAAAGATGGCTCAACTTGCAGTTATAAGATTATGGGCAGCATTAAGCGAATCAGAATATGAGTCACCAAGGCTTTTCAACTCTGCAAGAACACATCTGTGACCAAAAAGTTGAAACTTTATTGAATTAACAAATAAAGTGTGCGCTCAAAAAGCAATGGGAACAACATAATTAATTTGAATAAATGGGGAACATTGCTGGGTCCAATTTCTTAACCTTGTAGTAAAGATCTTGACTGTGGCGCCAAGGATATTAGCTAGGGCAGTATCAGCTGGAGTGATGTGGTTCGCCAGAAGATGGTACACAAAAGTTCCATCGCAAAGAACTTTGAAAGGCTCTCTAAAACCGAAGCAAGCTGTGTAAAATCTAACAGCTCTGCGATGTCTCTTTTGCTTCTTCACCTTCATCTTTCTTCTAATAACATAAAACAGATTGTTTTTAGTAGCACAAAACTATAATTGAAAGAGAAGTTGGAGAACAATCAAACTATAATTTTCAGTGTATGCACTGTGCATACACAGTTATTATCTGCCGAAGTTACTGTATATAATTGAAGGAATAACATAGTAATTTAACTTATAATCTAAAATGCTGACTTCATTAGAATAATCTAACAAGAAAGGAAAAAACAAACGAAATTCAAATTTTTAGAACAAAAGATCGTAGGATAAAGAGAACAAATTACCTTTTTATACTCAAATAAGTTTCAACAGCAAAAAGGATAATAAAGAATGAATTTTGGAACCCTAAAAGCTGTGAAAAGAAAGGAGAGGTCGACAGTTTTAAGGGTTTAATCCTAATCCCTGAAAATCCATTCCTTCTATGCAAACCGGGCCGGATATTTTACTGGGTTAAACACGGGTCGGACCAAACACGTGTTGGGCTTATGGACTGTTTCGATTAAATTTATAAAATGTAAAAGATCCAAGCATACCAATAATAAAGAATCAGAGATATGGGGCTCTCGGCTTCAAAGCGAGTCGCACTCGCTCTTCACAACTCGCCCGAGTTCAACGCAGCATCTGAGTCAGCATACACTCAGTGCCTCTCTCTAGCCCAGCACGCCTTCCCCGGAGTCAAAACCTACCAACTCTTCACCGCCACGGAAAACCTCCACCACACCCTATTCCGTTCCCTCCCGCTCATCTCCAAGTGGGTTCCGCATCCCCCGAACCGGGAGCAGGTTGACCGGGCTTGTAAGATTGTTCTTTCTCGCCGGTCAGTTCGACAGGTTGACAGTGACGAGTCATTGCTTGATGAAGTGGAGTTCAAAGCGTTCGCCATGGAGGTTTTTACCGACGCTGTCGTCTCGAACGCTGGGAAGGAGGTTTTGAAGCGAGTGCCACTTGGGGTTGCTGGGATTGCTGGCGTTGGGTTGATTGTGAAGCCCGGGAAGGAAATTCTCGGGGCAGCAATTGGAGCGTACGCGCTGGGTGTTGCGACTTCGATTTATCTCAGCCTAGCAGGTTAATGTAATTTCTGGTGTTGAAGGATTCCAGCAAGTCATTAAAAGTTCAATATATGCCTCAGATTGGTTTAAGTGAAAATAAAAGTTTTAATAAATTTTAACTCTCGTTTGGCTTTCATTTTATCCAAATTTTAATATTTAGAATAGTTTTTTTTTTTTTTTCAGAAATGTGTGATTAAAAAATAATAAATTTTTTTTATTTACGTGTAATATTATTTTATGGAAGATTGTGTGATTAAAAATGCAAGTCCGATATGTGTACAAGCAAGTTTCGTACGAAAGCCCGCCAGAACACACACATACGTGAGGTAATTGTGGTGTTTTTGGCAATTTTTATTCACGGTGGATCCCACACATGAGAGTAATCAGGCCAAATTCTGTGAAAAAATTTCTGTACAAATGACTTAAGTGTTAAAAGTAAGAATGAAAAAAAGAATGAGAAGGAGGGAGCCAAACGAGGGTTTAACAAAAATTACAAATTAAATGATTAAAAAGGTAATAAATTTTGTGAATGACGTGTCAGAGTCCTAATTATAGTCCTTG